GAAAGAATAGACCATTCCAAGCTTTTACTTGTTGTTAAACAAATGTTTAAACAACTCTATTTATTCAATTAAGAACAATGAAGTATTTAAACGTTTCGTACTATAATAATGGACGAATAATATTAAACCGAATATAGTACAACGTTTCTATAGAGATAGCTCTCGCAACGTTTCTATATGTGATTAGCTTTTTATTTCAAAAATTAGTAGTTTTTTCCTGACGAATTTTCTTTTGAAACAATGTTTTGATCACAATGTTCTTTAATATACCATTGTTCTAACTTAGATTCGTGTTTCTACATTTTTTGTTGTTGTACGGAAATATAATCTAACTGTATGTCGAAATATGAATATACTAATTTTGCGTAAAAAATTATAAAAATCTTACCCAAAAGTCTTTGTCACCCTGAAATTCATTTATGTTTGTTTTTTTTTGTTTTTTTTAATTATGCACAAAACTACACAAGTACTATCTGTGCTCTGCCCACCACGGGTATCGAAACCCGGTTTTTAGCGTTGTAAGTCCGCAGACATACCGCTGTGCCACTGGGGGGCAAATTCATTTACTGTACTGTCTTGTTATATGTTTACAGCCCTATGCCTTTTGAGTAATAGCTATATCTTATCATTACTGGTGGGAACAGCATTACTCCAGTAGTGAATATATTATCCCTTTCCCGGTGGCTCAGCGTGCTCGAGGGCTTATAAGTTGAAATTTAGAGCTCGATCCCTTTGGTAGGCATAGCATATATAGCCCATTACTCAGCTTTTCACCTAAAAAAAAAGCAAACAAAGGAAACATATTTTTCTCAGTAAAATCACAAATCGGTATATCACCTGTTAAGAACGTTTTTGTTTGAAGACGCACTAGCAGTTAGAAGTAGTTTCCAGTTAGTAAAACAACTACTATATGTTTTATTTCTGTTTTTTAACTATATATATATATAAGCATGATGAGTAGTTTTTAAACATCACTGGTTACATTTCATATTCAAATAATCAAATTATACTAACAACGATTATTAGACTAACGTACTAAAACTAAAATTTTATTTCGTCTACCATTTATGGCATGGCCAGTGCACGTTCCTTTTGGACAATTTAAAGGGCTTCCAGTTCCAGAAGGTCAAAAGGTAATTCGTGTTACGTTTAAAGAACATCCTGTCGGCCGATAATGATAAGACGCAACGACGACAGTTCTTATCGACACTTAATGTTCGTAACTGACTAAAAATGTTGTATTTCTTGGCACTATTGTATTATCAATATATGTTAATATGATCAACCCGCCTAGACCAGGTGAAGGTTCACACAAGTACTTCGAAACACAGCGCCCCGGCATGGCCAGGTGGTTAGAGCGCTCGACTCGCAATCTGTGGGGCGCGGGTTCGAATCCCCGTCCCACCAAACATGCTCGTCATTTCAGCCGTGGGGCGTTATAATGTGACGGTCAATCCCACTATTCGTTGGTAAAAGAGCAGCCCAAGTGTTGACGGTGGGTGGTGGTGATGACTAGCTGCCTTCCCTCTAGTCTTACACTGCTAAATTAGGGATGGCTAGAGCAGATGTCCCTCGTGTAGCTTTGCGCGAAATTCAAAAACAAACAAACAATCGAAACACAATCTAAGAAGAGGCAGATTTCCCATATCAACAACTCAGCTTAACCTTAACTGAAACAATTTATATGGGGAAAACAATCCTCTGGTCATTATCCATGTTTTTATTTTTTTTTCTAACATAATAATTGCAACTTTCTTGTTTCTAGATTCAATCAGTATTTTAATCAGTATTTATTTTGCACTTTTGAAAGATTGAATGTTTTTAAAAAAGAAACTAAAACCTCTGCTACTTGGCGAATTTTCTTTTCTTCAATGTTTTCTGCTAAGCACGAGTATCCTCTGGCTTCCTGACGCCTACTAGACATTGTCTTTTGACGTCAGTATTCTCATCTATCATTCACTTTCCGCCCACATGGCTCTGCTGTCAAAGAATCACTTGCTACTGGACTTGGGATAAGTTGTAAACATATATTATCTCTTGCTTTGTGGTATCAGAAGCTTGTATTGGATCTTTAGTTTGTGACGTTGTTATTTCTGTGAGTTCTGGAAAAATACGGTTTAAACGCCGAAAGCTGGCGGACCACTGAAATTCAACAAGTCTAAAAATTGTTATAAAAATAAAGTTAACTGCACGTGTCTTTTTTTTTCACAGTCATCTTAAATTTTCTATTACGGCACAAAATAGGAGGTGTGTAAAAAAGAGCATTTTAGATCTATCTTTTGTCTGTCACAAGTCGCTTCGCTACCCAAGAATCTTTTCGTCCAGTACCACAAACCATCAGATTGGCTGGACGATGAGAAGCAAATGACTCTATGAAATGCAATTTTTATATGCAGTATAATACTTTAAAAGCTACGGTTTAAAGGCCGAAAGCCGATGAACTATGGGGAAACAATGGGCCTAAACATTGTAATTAAAATTAAGTTAACTGCTGATGCTTATTTTCCACATTCCTCTTAATTTCTCCATTGTGGTTCAAAATGGGAAGTGACTTATGGGAGACAAAAGGTGGATCTAAAATGCTATTTTTACACACCAAAATAGGAAGTGACTTATGGGAGACAAAAGATGGATCTGAAATGCTATTTTTACACACCAAAATGGGGAGTTACTTATGGGAGACAAAAGGTGGATCTGAAATGCTATTTTTACACACCAAAATGGGGAGTGACTTTTGGGAGACAAAAGATGGATCTGAAATGCTATTTTTACACACCAAAATGGGGAGTGACTTGTGGGAGACAAAAGGTAGATCTGAAATGCTATTTTTATACACCAAATGGGGAGTGATTTGTGGGAGACAAAAGGTGGATCTGAAATGCTATTTTTATACACCAAAATGGGGAGTGACTTTTAGAAGACAAAAGGTAGATCTGAAATGCTATTTTTATACACCAAATGGGGAGTGATTTGTGGGAGACAAAAGGTGGATCTGAAATGCTGTTTTTATACACCAAAATGGGGAGTGACTTGTAGGAGACAAAAGGTGGATCTGAAATGCTATTTTTACACATCAAAATGGGGAGTGATTTGTGGGAGACAAAGGGTGGATCTGAAATGCTATTTTTATACACCAAAATGGGGAGTGACTTTTGGGAGACAAAAGGTGGATCTGAAATGCTATTTTTACATACCAAAATGGGGAGTGATTTGTGGGAGACAAAAGGTGGATCTGAAATGCTATTTTTACACACCAAAATGGGGAGTGACTTATGGGAGACAAAAGGTGGATCTGGGATGCTATTCTTACATATCTTTTTTATGTGAATGTAAAAAAGAAATACCTGCAGTTATCTTGATTTTTAAAACAAGTTGTGGAAGGTATCTGAACTCGGTATTTTATTCATTGAGCGTATACTTGAATTTTCTTTGTTAATCTTTAAAATACAAAGTGTAGAAAGTGCAGTTAAATTGATATCAAATGTTTATAATTTTTTCTCAATAATTTTTAAAAGTAAGTTTTTTTTGAGTTCATAAAATATACCCTTATCGATCAATGCTTACATTTATTCACTATCTATAGCTCATAATGGTTTATAACTTTCATTTAATTCTCTGATGATCAATGATAATTAAAAAAATTTAATTATATTAACTGATAAAAAAAAAACTATCAATATTTATAGAAAGACCTACTTCCGTTTTTGTTTTCAGTTTGTTTATTTTTCCCATAAATTGTACGCAATCTATAGAAAGTTTGTTATAAATATTTCTGTAGGCCTAAGATAAGTTTTAAATAAGTTGTGTTTTACTAATTGTAAGATGTTATAATCTTATTGACATATCAATTTTCAGGGAATATTTGTGGCAGTCCTTTACTGCTTTTTGAACTCTGAGGTAAGAGCAGCTTAATTTTTAACATAAACGTTTTAAGTTACTGATGCCTCTAGTTTTTACATTACTGAGTTTATTAGAATATTCCTTTGATAATGTCTGTAAAGTATTTCTCTTTCGCTATCTAAATTTATGACTGTTGCAAACAGAAAAGTAATTATTTTTTGCTTTCATCATTACCTAAAGGTGTAAGACGGAATGTTATAGCGCCATCTGATATTTAAACACTGAACTATAAATTCATGTGATGCCATTCAATACATCCCGATTATGTCACTGCCGTAACGTAGAAATCCTAACGGCCCAAACTTTTCATGTTGGAACAAAATTAATACAGCAATACGACATAATGGATAATAATTAATAGTTACTTTCGAAACTTGTGTACATACCAAATATTGTACTTAAATGAATAGTGGTATTATCGAATTTACTCCGTTTTGCTGTGTAATCAACATAGCTTAGGCCTCACCCACTATCACTGTATAATATACCTATTTTGGAGCTCAGCACTACCACAAAGTAATTAATATATTCAGGTTATTGGAAATGTAGAATTATTAAAAATAATATGAGGAGAAAGAAAATTATCAAAGTTTCGGTCAAATGAACTTCATCAGAATTCGTTGAAAAAATATTTAATCTTTCAATAAAACATCATTCGCCCATTTGCTTATCCTTAGAAAGATTTTAAGTTTATTTTTTAGAATATGTTCGTAACTTATCTTGTTTTAGCATTTAATTGTTATCTGTGTTACTTTGTTGTTGTTTTTTTGCAAAGACGTTTTTTTATCGTTGTTGTTGTTTTTATTGTTGTTCTCCTTGTACTTGGACCAATAACACTAGAAAACAAGAAGCTTAAAATTTATTATAAATTTGATAATATTAAGCAGTACTGAAAAAAGTTATATAACTTAAGCAAAAATTAGTGCCTGTTGCTTTAATTATCTCACTTGTTGTAACAATATATCTGATTAAAACAAGAAATGGCCATCGGTTTAACTGGTGTTTCGTACTTATGGCACGGAACAATAAGGTTATCTGCTACCGTTTTTAATTTTGAACTACTAAACAGAGTGAAGACAGTCAGTCAGCATCAGTCTACTACCCATCTTCTATGATACACTAAGTGATTGACTGTCAATCTTATAACGCATTCACAGCTTGAAGTGAGAAGAATATTTCGTGGTATCGAACGGTTTTAAACCCTATTTGCTAGGTCTAACATAAAGCCAAGCCTCGCCTCCAGTGGTTAAACCTAAAACATTTAGCATCTTTGAGCTTGGTATTTCAAATGGAAATTTGAGAGAGATAAACAGTTAGAAACATAGTACTACGTAAGTTATGGGTTACGAACCTACACACGCATTAGTACCATGGTCGTTTCTAGAAAAAAGTGGTAATAAAAGCTTAAAAAAAGAGCATAATCGACTTTCATGACAAGCCCACAATAACTAAACTCTCCAGCGCAAGTGTGATTAAATCTGCAGTCTTAAAATTATACAGAAGTAATACTAAAATTCCTGGAGGTGCTTGGCACTCAAGTCACCACGAAACTCTTGGTGCCTAAAATTCCTAGTGGTGCTTGGCACTCAAGTTACCACGAAACTCTTGGTACCTAAAGTTTGGCACTTAATAGTGAAACGCCCCCCAGTGGCACAGCGGTATGTCTGTGGATTTACAACACTAGAAACCGGGTTTCGATACCCTTGGTGGGCATGGCACTGATAGCCAATTGAGTAGCTTTGTACTTAATTACAAACAAACAAACTAGTAGTAAAACGGTTCACAATCCCGGAAGTTGACCAAATATGATAGAAGAAACCATCTCTGTCTCTCGGCCTGATGGTTAGGGCGCTCCATTCTCAATCTGTAGATCGCGAGTCTCAATCCCCGTAACCGAACATACTAGCCCTTGTATCCATAGGAACGTTATTAACGTGAAGATCAATCCTATTTTTCGTTGGCCTAGAGTTGGCGGTGGACGATGTAGAATAGTTGCCTTTCCTCTAGTCTATAATGTCTATATGAGAGACTGCTAATACCGATAGCCCTAGAATAGCTTTGCGCAACATCCAATCAAACTTTCTCTCTCTTTCTCTTGTTTGTAGCGATTGATTAAAAATAAATAAAAACTTTGATGATTTATCTTTTTTTAATTTCTTCCAAAATGTCATATTTTAGGTCTGAATGTAAAAGTGTTTGGCAAAGATGTTTCAGTTTATAATCCTTTTAAAATGCATCTTTTCGTAAAGCATTCATAGATACAAGATTCCGGTAAACCAAATGTTCCTATTGTAACCTGTATAGGAAATAGTTCGACGTAATATTATCGCAGTTATAACGTTAATTGAAACAATTATACATTCATAAACATTATTTTCGAAACAAAAGAGCACCTGAAAATGTTCTTGCTCCTTTACTTTACCTTTTTGTTTCAAATTTTAGGTACAGACCGTTCTGCGGAATGCCTACTTGCGTGCCATTTTACAGCGAGATCCCAACCATCATTTGACGAGAAGGCGTGGCCTGTCACGTACATCAGCTAGCTACTTGTCAAACTGTGACACTACTGTTTCTGACAGCGCTCGTCACAAGATATCGCCATCTGTTAATGTACTGGTACCCCTACATGAAATGTCTCAGCAAGAGGAACATCGTGGAAGAAAACAATTAAAATTTCTTAGAACAAACTCCGAAAGACAAAGAATCTTTTCAATTTAATAAGTTCGTATAGTGCCGCCATCTGTCTATGGTATTTAGAACATTTTGTTGTGTCCTACAAAAATTCAAAACGGTATAGTTGAACTAAAGGACACTGATAGTCCTTATTCTTTCACTGTACGTAGCAGAATCTTTCCTGCTTATCTTTTGTTTTCTTTTAATATCAATTGTAGACTCTCAAATTACAAACTTGTTTTTTATACCTTTAAGTCACGGTGGGGTTCTATTTTGCTTCCTATTGACTAATGTTATGTTTTTGCTTGTTCCGATAACCAATGTAGAAAACATTGGAAATAAATTGAGTGAAAACATTAATTTTTTTATCTAAAATGCATTGGGAATTCAAAAAGTTATTAGTTAGATTAATAGCAATATTTATAGTATTTTGGTCTGTATAGTATTGTGTGTGTGTGTGTGTATTACTCATATACCATAAAGAAATCTGTAATAACAAAGTCATGGACCCACAAAAAATTTGGCCCATAAATGCTTTAGAAAAACTGCTGGGAAATTCTAGGGTTGGTGGGTATACTCTTAGAAAATTTGAGTACTTAATTTAACATCGCATTACCGAGCTACTGATGTAAGGGAAGTTCAGTTAAAAATACCTAAGTATCTATATTCACGGAGTAATACCAATGAACTAACCTAACATCGCGTGGTGTAAAGAAAGTCCTGTTAAAAGCACCTAATGTTGATCAACTAATCTAGTTTGATGTTACCAGGTTACGTGTTTTAAAAAATATATACTTTCAACGTGCTAATAATATTTTAAAGAGCTGTGTAGAGGTCACGTTAAGAAAATAAACCAGTGATATCACAATACTTAAAGATGACGTAACTTAATAACAACTTCCGGTCAGAGTTAGCTATGTGTCCAGAGCGAAAATAAAAATATCTCTAGTCATGTTTAACTGGGTAATCCCCTAGCCAACATTTGCCCATAATGCAGAAGAGCCGTATCAACAACAAGCTAATCTTCTTGATCCTGGAGCGAGTCTCGAACCATGCGTCCACGGGAGAAGACTACGTTACTTCTAGATTAGTTGTTGGTTGCAACAGGAAGATTCTTCCTTTATGATATAAACGTTTGAAGTATCAAACGAAGATCTCTGTCAAGTGACATAAGATTACTATAGTGTTTTATGTTGGACAACGTACCATAAGCACGTTCTTTGTAATTACGTGCGCAATTGTAGAGTAGAGTAAGTCACAAATGTCATCGTGCCATATTGTGTCGAATCAGATTGTTTTATTATCTTAAGCTGTGTAAAGTCTCCATATCAGCGGAGTCCATTTATGACTTTAAATAATAGCGTATTTATATTTTTAACTGACGATGTTGAGAAATGTAAGAGTGGTTCAGAAGATTACGTGAAAGTTATGCAGGTAAATTTTTTAAAGTATTGTAAGTTTCTAATAAGTGGCATATGTGGTGTGGAAGACATATGTCATATAGTGTTCTAATACAGTGGAAGACATATGTCATATAGTGTTCTAATACAGCGGAAGATATATGTCATATAGTGTTCTAATACAGTGGAAGACATATGTCATATAGTGTTCTAATACAGTGGAAGATATAAACTTCATTGGTGTTGGTTGTGCAATGACCAATGAGTATCTCAGTCTGTTCATGTTGCTGATGTCATTCGTCTACAAAAGCTAATTTATAACAAATGTTTATGATGATTTTAACAGAATGCATTTCTCACTATAACTGGCACTGATTAACGTATTGCAAAGGTATTTATTGTTTGTTTTGAATATCGAGGGTTACCTGCGCATGTACTTGTGAAATTAAAGTATGATCTTTAAAAATTTCCTCGTTGTTTTTATTTGATTTTATTATTTTTGAAATCAGTATTGATGACTACAATTTTATAAAGGTGTCTTACAGAAGTGCGATGAGAAATAAAATCATGTTTGTAGTGTTGTAATAAAGTAGGTTGTGTTGATGAGATAGTCTTATTTACTGGCTCAAGAACGGCATGTAATATAAACGAAACGTGTGTCTAACCCTTGTGACATTTTCACGAGTTTCAGAACTACAATGACAGCTATCATATGTCAGTTATGGATAACGTCACCTTACATATGTTCATCAGGTTCCTGATGCCACGAAACAGTGGCTTATAGGTGAGCAGTAAACCAATCCCGGGCAACATCTGGTGTCCAAAATATGAAAGAGGCATATGACCTATCGAAACTGCTATATCTCAAGTAATGTAGGTCAATATTATCCAGAGAGGAGCTTAAATTAATAAAATAAAGAGTTTAAAATCGCGGCGAAATGTCATAAGAAAAATGACAAAGAAAAACGATATGGTATTGGTACCCATTTGTTACGCCTATTCCTAAAAATACATTATTGATTCCAATCTAACTTTTCTGATCAATCTCAGTTTATCTTCATTGTGTATAGCACGTGGAACAGTGTTGATCAGTTAGTAATAGTTATCGTGTACCTTATACTTTAAAACGATGTGAAAGATAAGTTTGAAAAACAATCGTTCAGAAAGTTTTATGTCCCTCACACTTACACGTCATTATAACACATACCTCCAACATAATCTGTTTACTTTTACATGAGTTTATTCCTATTTAAGTTTCAACTTGTAGTACGTTTTAATAAGTCATTCTAAAGTTCGATGCTAATTATTCATTGATTAAAATTCTGTAGCTGCAACAGCATGTCATCCAGTTCCAATATTACAGGCAAGTTACACAATCCAGAGACTAAAAATATAACTAAATTAAATTACAGGCAAGTTACGAAGTTCAGAAACCATTTACTCCAAAAATATAATTCACTTAAAGGCCCAAATAAGATCACCTTTAGTTTGTTATTGTATATTCATCCATCCAACCTAATAATGTTTTCATGTTGATTAACAATTTTTGTCATAGTGGTGATGTGAAGTTTTTGGACCCTCAGGATGAAGACCAGTAAATTAACAACAATGTCCATGTCACCACTTACCAGTTTTTTTTTAAGTATGCTACTTGGAAATCACTAAGTAATCTAATTTGGCTGAATAGAAAAAAAATTAAACCAGTTCGCAGTTTACCACCATTTTTATCCTGTTAAACTTGACAAGACTTTGATATTTAAATAAGGGTTCTCAATCTACCAAAGAATACTTTAGGACGTTATTTTTAATTCCTTTATTTATCTATTTCCTTCTCGCTATAAGTAGTTTCACTTATTTTCAAGAGTAAATTCCTTCATAGGTTTATATATTATTAACTACTTGAAGAAAATAAGGAATTTGAATGTGCTTGTTAACTTTAAGTACAATGTTCCCATTTATTTCGCGGTGTCACAGCGATGTGTCTGCGGACTTACAATGCTAAAAACCGGGTTTCGATACCCGTGGTGGGGAGATCACAGATAGCCCATTGCGTAGCTTTGTGCTTAATTACAAACAAACACACAAACCTTATAATTTGGTCTATGGTGTTGTTTCAGCTTGGAAACGAACGTCTGTACGTATGTTGCTACGATTTAAGGTATTTTAAAAGATGATCATTTTTTTTTAAAACTAGATAAAAGACACAGTATGGCATAAATATGTAAGACCATTTATCAAATAATTAAGTGCTTTCCTTTGGTATTGTAGAATATATTTAAGCATAACTTTCTTTTCGCTTATTATAGAATAGAAAATTATTTGCAAAAGTCCAGACGTGAGTCATTAACAGCACGTGCTTGTGTTCGTTCTTGGAAATTGCAATTATCAGAGCGAAAATGCTTAGAATATAAAAAAAAAACACATTTGCGCTTTATTCGTTTTAAAACAGCATATTTTCAAAATTCTGCACCAATAAACCATTTTTAAATTAAAGGCCCATTCACGCTAGTTTCGTTTCTTACTGTCTAGAGATTATTTTAGATGTTAAATATAAGCTCTATGAATATATTACATTGAACTGAAAATTTCTATACATTATCTAAATTTATAATTAATTCAGATATCTTCCTCTTTTCTTGCGTTTTAATATCCAACATTTTGTACACATTGAAGTGAACATGAGAAGTCACCGATCATCATAAGTGGTTCACCTCATTCTCAAGATTCTAAGGCACTACATTTTAGACACGTGTTATAATTTTTGAATTTCATGAACTAGAAATAATTTCAATCAAGTCACACTTTATCCTTTTTATCTTAAAAATAATTAAGTTAAGATATTAAAGACATTAGGATAAATAACTGTTCCAAATTATCCTACTTAAAGATATAACACAAATGATTGTTTGTTTTGTAATCAAGCACAAAGCTACACAATGTGCTATCTGTGCTCTGCCCACCACGAGTATCGAAACCCGGATTCTAGGGTTTTAAGTCCGCAGACACTGGGGGCAACACAAGTGAAAAAATTATAATGCAAAATTTTAATTTTTTTTACAGAGATAAGTATAATATAGACATTGGGATAAATAACTGTTCCAAATTAGCCTACTTAAAGATATAATACAAATGCAAAAATTTAATTTTTTTATAGGGATAAGAAGTGTTATTAAGATAAATACTTAGAAATGGTTCTTTTCAAAAATAGCTAAAAAGAGTTGAATGCGTAATCCATAAACAAACTTAAATATGTTCACTATTGACAACAACGAACATACTGTGGATAAAAAAAAATACTAAATGTTTAGGTTTTTATACAGTAGATTCGTCATTACTTCTTTCGATAAAGCAGCTATCAAGTTTGTTTGTTTTTTACTTTTTTATATTCGTATTACAACTTAGTTTGAAGAATTAGGATTTAATCCAGAAACGCTAAACACTTCGGGTAACAAGGTGTATAAATACATTAATAAAACAGATAAATAAAAAATCATACAGAATCTAATACAAGTGTAACAGACTCTGGTGTTCATTCTGTAAATTTTTATAAAATAACACCTAAAAAATTTTGGTATTACATTATGAAAACAAAATCAATATACATTTTTTAACGTAGTAATTTTACATTAGTCTTTCTATTGATAAAATCTGAAAAAGAACAGTTCACCAGCAATTTTGAGAGATTTTAAAAAGACTGGTAAATTAATGTTTTATTTTAATAAACGCAGGTGTTTCTATGATACTGTCATTCAAAATTATATATTTTCACAATAAACCAATTCTAACAAGCTATGTATTTTGTTTTTACTTGACAACATATTGGCAAACATTTTTCAATAATGTCTTTCATCGGATACATGAAATACTTATATGAGATACCTTCAGGCTCACAAGTTACAGATTTACATTTACTTGAACTTGAATTTTCATAAATAAATCTTAATAAGAATGACCATAATAAAGATTTGCGCATAAGACTTATTTGATATTTATGATGGATGTAAATTCAATAGTCTTCTTCTTACCTGTTAGGGAATTAATATTTTTACAAAATATCACGATATTTTCAAAACGCCCACATCTACACCTCAGTGTCTTTAGAATAATTAAAGTTGTGATGAACAATTGTGATATGTTCGGGTTAAACTAATTTCACTTAGGAGAGATCTGATAGGTGTGCAGAATAACTGGAGATTTGATAAGGATATTTATTATAGAATAATTCTTAATCTCCGAATAACTGAGTTGTGAGACTGAAATTAAGAGAGTTGTTATAAAGTAAAATATGAAATGAACAATCTATACTTAAACACAAACTCAGTTCCTGTACTTGCATTGGATCATCTTTCAGGCTACTTATTCGTCAAAATCATGTGCCAAACGATTTACATTCAACATTCCTTACCTTGCAATGAACGTCACATTCGCTCAGAACGACCAGCACTACCACGTGACTGGGTATTCTCACTCAGACATAGGTGAGTGCATAACATCAAAATACCAACTGTTGTACCATTGAAGGACACTTCTTTTGACATCCTTGTACAACTTGTAGCATTACAGCAAAACCTCTCATGAACAGAACATTATCTAGGAGATACTGAAAAAAAGAACTAGAGCAACAGAAACTAGATTTTTGTCAGTTACTCTAGTTTTCATATTTACTACTGTTGTCACTGTTTTAAAGTCTTATTATTATTGTAAGCTTTTTACAATCTTATTATCGTTTTTACACTTCGGCTAGTACCTAAAATGTAACTTCATTACTTCTGGCTGCCCATTCCATTTGTGTTGCAAAAGTAGCAGAGGTTAAAGACAGATTTATTGTGCTAGAAATACCCTATAATACATTTAGTATATTATTTTATTACATTTAACATTTTTATAGTTTAATTAGGGTATCAACATTTCTACAATTTATTTTCGATTCTGTTATTCATTTCATTTGTTTTTTATCCTAATAAGCATTGAATTTTGGGGCCTTCATGGATCACAAAACTTTAGTAAGAAGGATTATATTAAGTGTTTCTCAACATGAAATATGCAATAGTGCAGGAACCAAACCACGAGTTTTTATATGTTCTGTAAATAAGCTATACTCTACGCTTTTTTGAACTTTCAAAAAAAAGTACTTTTTAGACTGTTTAGTGCATTTAAGTGCCCCAAAATAATCGACATTCCTTTGTTTTCCTGTGTCATTAAGTACAAGGAACATCCCTGTCTTGAAAACTTTAAGTCCTTGATCTAAATATCTTTTTATGACCTAAGTCAGAAAGGGTAATTACATATCTTTCCTAAAATCAATTGATTTTCAGGACCTCAAACTGCCTATGGAAGTAAAAAATATGTCTAAATGTAGTTCTAATCCATGTCATTTCTCCACCACTTTATATTGGCTGCAATCATGTGAATTGTTGATCTGCATATTCAAAATTGTTTTAACATATTATACTCAATCCTTTCTAACT